CTTAGTGCATTTATCATCACATACGCCAAATAATGTATGCATGGTGTTACCTATTATGTTTATTAATCCTCTTTTCTTTCTTCGTTTATCTTCCTGTATAGTACTTCCTAGTGACATATACATACGTTCTTTCTGTTTAGTTATTTCATTATATAAATCTGTAATTACTATTTGATTTTTTCTAAATAGATCTTGGTGTTTCTGGTCAGTACATATATTTGTTATATTCTTTTAATGAGAAAAACGTTACAAGACTGTATTGAGCCCCTATAAATCTAACTGGTCCCAAATTCTCATATTGTATTCCCCTGCCACTTTCATAAGGCTTATATGAAAAGTACTGTGATGTATTTATTTCGTCAGATTCGACAGTATTGACTAGAAAACACGTCACCATCACCAATCTAAAAGTACAAATTATAATTATATTAAAACTAAACTATTTGTATATATATTTTCCTAGAAGTACCTATCATAATCTAATTTATGTTATTATTATTTATTATATTTATATATATTTTTTTGATTAAATGATCTCTAGATATTTTATGCGATATTTGCATATTTTTTTTAGATCGAATATATAATCGTCGTAATTGTGACGTGGTTCAGGTTTGGCCTTCGAGTTAATCGGTACCTCCAATGTACATCTGTAAACTAATGCGTATGGTTGAAAATTAGTAGAAGTATGTACTGTTGAATTATATACAAAGAATGCAAAGGGTAATAAATGATCCCCAATTATTTAAATTCTTATCTACATAATGCCGTAAGTACTCGGCTAAAGTCCTATGAGCGCGTTCTACGGGGTTACCCTGCGGTCTGAATGGACTTGTGTTAACCTTTTCTATTTTTAATATTTTACAAACATTTGCAAACGTTTTAGAGAGGAAATTAGTTCCTTGATCCGTGAGTATTGTTTCTGGTATGCCGTGTACACAAACGAAGTGTGTAACAAAGGCTTTCGCAATAGTATTTGCCCTTCTGGTCAGGAAGTGGAATTCCTAAAGTGTAACGTGTCAAATCGTCCTCCATCGTTAAAATGTATACATTATTGGACAGTGTAATCGGCAAAGGCCCTACTATATCCATAAATATTTTTTGAAAGGTTTAGACGAAGTGGATGTAATAGCCATTGGATGTTTAATGTGCCGATTTGATACCTTATTAGCCTGACATGACGCACAATTCTTCAAATATTTTCTAACGTCTTCATTCATACCCTTCTATAAGAATTGTTTTTTAATGCGCTTAATGGTTTTATTCACACCTAAATGTTCGCTTAGTTTTGAATCGTGAAATTGTAATAAAATGATTGCTTTTTCTTCTGCATTATATTCTATATTTGCACATATAATTATTTCTATATCTGTTTTGCAAAATATGTATTGTAACATTGACTGGCTGTGTTCCTGGTTGCTGATGACATGCTGATGGATTTGTTGGTACCGCGACGTGACTTATTTGTTTTTGATGGTTCTTCTTGGAGTTGTCTTCTCGGAAGAGTGTACAGTTCTTCTTTGTTGAGGGTAGCCTTTGATGGTTGCCTCCCTTTGTAGAATCCAATACCGACTGCGCCAGTGTTACATGCGGCCCTTCAGGGATCCAAAAGCTTGTTGCACTTTTACAATAAAATGTAGTCAATTTAAATATAAATCAATTGTACTTTATTAAAACCAATAATAATTAATATAGTCGTGGTGAATTGCAGCGTCGTGAGTTGACTCGTTGTAGTAGTCGATAATCTCCATGTAAGTCGTGTGTAATGGCTGGTGGCTAAGCGGCTCGCTCGGTCTTGGCGGCTCTGGTACATCTAATTCGTATTGGAGCACTAGCCTCTATATATACGAATATACGAAGGCGACGCCCTTTGAATTGAGCGGCGCGTGGCATGTAGGCGCCCTTGGGAAGTTGTTGTGGTTTGAAGCGTCTATTCTAGCTATGACCACTTTTGGGTGCGGTCGACGAGGCTGCCTTCCACATAAGTGGTTCTTGTTATTATAAGCGTTGTACATGAATTGCGTAATCCCATTACAACTAGGTAGTAAACTAGAACATTTGACTAAATAGTAAATAAAATACTTTTAAGGTACACAAAATTACTTCATAAGCACTTACAAGTTATAGCTAGAGCTAGAAAAATACTGAGCCTCAAAATTACATAAAATAAAAATGATTAATACACTTACCTTCAGAACCTGGATATCCATTAGTTATTATTAGCGATTTGGCATTGCTATATTCGTCGCCACTCAACATCCCTACAAGGTACAAATAAACAACTTGCAGGTTTCAACATGCGGAAATGCGTCGAATCAGTAATTTATAATTTCTTAGTAGGTAATTAGTTCTGTTGGATTGAACGAGACAACACACTATCTGGGTGTTTTTTTATAAAAATAATCGACCTATATCAATATTATATTGCTTTGATTTTATTTGACATCAATATTTATGCACCAAATATTTTGTAATTTTATATCCAAAGATTTCTCATAGGAGTATACGATTGTACGAGGCTAATACAAATTACTATTATTTCATTAATAATATTTGTAATACAATAATTTAATAGAAGCAAATTTTTGATGCATTTAGCATTAACTAATATTTTGTAAATTAATTTAAATTAAAAAAAAAAAATCTAACAAAATTGCCAGGCCACCAGGCCATAGTATGGTCCAGGCCATCTGGAAAATTCCCATTTCCAGACCGGCCACTTCGCCCCTGGTATTACCCTTCCTGTTTGGATGTTATTGGCATTCCCCGCTAAATTTATAAGCTGCCGTCGTCAGTACTTCGCTGGAGTCGTGTTCCGCGGAGGAGATCGGGGAGCGGACAGTGTTGTTATTACTATATACGGAAATGAAAATATGCGACAAAAAGTTCGATTTTTTCATACACACTTTCATACACATAATACATAAGTCATAACACAGTGATGCACCATTATAATTATGCAATTATAATTACTAAATAATTTAAAACATCATAAATATCATATGACATTAAATAAATTGGTAGGTAGGTACATAATATATTATATACAGTCGTACAATATAACAGCAAAATATTATGATAGTAGGTACTTACGAAGATAAGTGCCTAAAAATTGTATAGTGTATTCATTTATACAGACCTACGTTTAATAGGATAGTATTACATTTCAATAAAATTTGTTATTCACCAATATAATTATCTATTTGTTAATTTGATTTAATTCTCATAATTAAATAAATATTCATGGTAGCCGGTAGGTATATTTTAGAAAATATCCAATCAGAAAATTAGATTTTGTCGACTTATTTGTTATAACCGCGAAAACATAACAATGATGACATTGATTACAGTGAAGCCTAACATAAAACACCTGACAACTGTTCTCTATAATTATCAAAAAAATACAATTTTAATACCTCCTGTATGATTTTTCATATTTGAACGGCCGGTTCGAGCACTTTTCGCTGTAGGCGGATTGTCCGTTCGGGAATCGAATTTCACCCGAGATGACTGATAGCTAGACACTCAAACTCAGAATCCGAATTTCCGATTTCAACACACATACAAGAACCGGACATACACGTAGTCGGATTGCCTACCTGGCTGGTCGTGTCGTACGATCGACTTGAATCGCGTGACTTACGACTAGACACTCTTCCGAGTTCAAAAATTACCGCTTAACCAGTGCTGCCTACACAACAAAGCACAATACCCGACGACCCCATTCCCGCCGCAGGCCGGATCAAAAAACTCAGCATCGCCGACAAAGATGCACCGCCGCCCACACAGTCTTTCCGCCGCAGGCGGGATGACAAACGCCAGAATCTACTCTTATACTATAAAACGTGAACCCGAGGGCGCCCCCTATGCACTAAATCCTAACTGCTATAGACGAAAATGGAGAAAATCGCGGCGGGGCGCGTTATCACTCCTCCTTATCGCTTTTCGCGGTGTCGACCGTTTTTCTCGATTTTTTTTCAAAATTTTCGAGTTTTACCCCACCCGGGCTCCTCGGGCGGTCCCGTTTGGTCCTTATTCGCGCTCCCCGCTAAATTTACTATTACGAGTATGCCGTACTTTTTTCCCGGCGGGCCCTCCGCGGCGGATATCTCGTGCGAACCGTGCGCCGCCGTCGCGCTACTTTTTTGCCGTTTTTTTCGAAAATTCGACTTTTACCCCCCTCGCGGGCCCCGGGCGGCCCCGTCGTAGACTTATTCGCGTTCCCCGCTAAATTTATACCCTACGCGCGTCCCTACTTTTTCGTCGACGAGTCCCCCGGTGGACCAGTCGATCGCTGAGAGCGCCGCGTCGTCGCCGTTTCGAAGGTTTTCTCGACTTTTTCGAGTAGAGGCGCGTTTAGCACCTCTACGAGACGTCCGACCTCCCCATCGGAGACGTATTCACGTTCCCCTCTAAATTTATAGCCGGCGTTCGGCGCTACTTTTTCAAAAACGAGCCCCGGTTATGAGCGTCGTCGCTTAAAGCCGACGGCCTATAGCGCCGCCGTCGAGTAGGTACCGCTATATACAGGCATAAATACATGCGTCTCGAGGTCAGTGGCGGTTTTACGGGGGGGGGGCGATAGGTGGACCGCCCCCCCCTTGGGCCGAGTAAAAACTAAAAATATAAATGAGCAAACAGTTTACTAAAAATCGTTTTGGCGATATTTTTATTTTTTAATTTTTGTCAAAATGTTTACTGTTTACAAAAATGTTTACTCCTATTGAAGTATAGAGGGCGCTCGTTCTTTATTGGTTTACTCGCATGTACCGTGATATCACAGAACAATGGTGATATGCCGTATCAGGAGGTATCAGTAAACAGTCAACAGACCGTTAACTTTGCTCTCGTTACCTTTGCGGCTTTGCGAAAACACGAATATGGTTTTGTCGTTTATCATTAATCATTATTAGATTAGGTTAATAACAGTTTTTGAGTTCACAACGTTCACGTTTTTATAATATTGTTTTTGAAGTTTTAACATCAGTTTTTTTGTAAAAATGTCGAAACATAAAATAACGTCTTATTTTGAAACAAATTCAGCAAAAAAATGTAGAACGAGTAACACTGATGGTAACGCAAAAAAAACTATGATTGAAATGCAGACACAAATGCCTGATACACAAATTCCAACGTCCACGTCTTCAATTGAAGAACTGTCATCAAGCAATCAAGTTAGTTTAGTTGATAGTACGGATATAGGAAATTTTATAAATGAAACTGCAGATGATTTTACTAAATCATTAATAGTTAAAAGAAGTAACATCCCTGCATCAAATTTTATTTTTCCTTTTTCAACCCACATAAAAAAAGGGAAAGCTGAAAAACGGTATTTGCGTGTCAATCATTTTGAGAAATACTCGTGGTTAGAATATTCAAATATTAAACATGGTTTGTTTTGTAAAACTTGTGTATTGTTTCTGACTTCAAGTCTTGGTGGTATGCATAAGACACAACCCTTAAAAACCTTAGTAACTGAGCCCCTAAAAAAATATGCCAAATTGCTAGGTAAAGATGGAGCTTTGGATGTACACAATAATACTATTTATCATAAGAATAAGTTTGACTGTTAATTAAGTTTGAATAAAAAATAATTTTTGTTTTAATTTTTTTATTGATACCTATATCTTTATGTTATGCCGTTGTAGTATAAAGTTTATAATTTATATAATTTATAATTACATCTCATGTACCAAACAATAGAAAAAAAAAAATTTGATATGAATGCAAATTGTAAGTATAATGTAGGTATATGCAAAATATATTCGCTGCCCCCCCCCCCCCCTTGTGGCTTCTCAAGAACCGCCCCTGCTCGAGGTTCGATTTTTTTTGCAAATCTCGCGTTTTGAACGTCCGAAGGCGGCGGACACGGTCGTCGTCTGAAACGCCGGTCGGATCGCCCGCTCAAACGCCCTTAGCCGGCCGTCCAAACGGCGTTCGCCTTTCGCGGGCACGGCGACGCGGCTTAAGAGTCATAGAATTGACTCAGATTTTCATCTTCGGTAGGTGGCTAAGTAGGTTCGGCGTTAGGACAAGTGACTCGAGGGTCGTGGTTTCGAGAATTTGCGGCGGCCGTGATAAATCGAATTTTTTGTTCGCGTTTTTTTTTTTGTCACATTTATTATTTTTAACGAAAGTGTTCCGATTTTTTTCAAAATTCGCGTTATTATATTATATACATATATCGGTATTTATATATTTTATTATTCGTTTGACGATACTTATTGAGCAAAAAAAATTAATATATAATAAGGTATGTATATTAAATTGTAATTAAATTGTATAATGATACTATACAATTTAATAAATCATAATAATAATTAACATTTAATTAATACTTGATTTTACCGTGACCAACGCACCTATATGTTTCTTTTAAAAATACAATATAATATAACTGACCTACATGCAGTACCTACTTGATATATTACAGTTTTTGGGTGATTCCGATTTGGGTTAATACTGCTACAGATTATAAATACTGTTTAATACGATATTAATAAACTAATAGATCTGATTGAATTCTAACAGATAAATTAAAGATAACATAAAGTACGACTTTATGACTGCTCTATTTGCATTTTCGAAAATTCGAGTTTTACCCGCTTTCGGTCGTAACACCCTCCCCGTCGACGACTTATTCGCGTTCCTTGCTAAATTTATAGCCGGCGCGAACCCTACTTTTTCTTAGATGAGTCGCGGGGAGGAGAGGTGTCGCGGAAACTAGAGTAGGTATCGTGTAGGTATCGCTAATTACAGGCACAAATACATGCGTCGCATCGTTTTTTTATGGAGCTGGCGCTGCGTTATCACTCCTCCTTATCGCTTTTCGCAAAATCGACGTCCGTGGGCTCAGATCGCCAGCTACGACCAGTGTTGAGCTCAGATAAATAGTTTGTCATCTAGATAAAGATAAAGATAATAGACCAAAAATCTATCTAGATAAAGATAAAAATAAGCCCTACCAAAATTATCTATTTATTAGATAAAAGATAATTAGAATTTATCTAGTTAAAAAGCAGATAAATTTTTAAAAACAATATTTTAAAATTTAAATTGTTTAAGATTAATAAGATGCATCAAGCTTATCATGTAAATAACATTTTGTATTTGTTTAAGGTGTTTAAAGTTTTTCAATCTTGCTTCAATGTTGCTTCTATAATTTAAAAAATGTTTTTTCAGGCACATTTTTAAAAAATCCAATGTGTTTATTTCTGCACTGAATCAAAGCTTTCAACTTAAAAATTAATGTACTATATTATATTATATTTAAACCAAGTAAAGATTAAATTAATAAGACAGGAAAAGTGTAAAAAATAAATATACTTGTATATATTATATTTATTACTTGTTCTAGTGTTTTATTTGGGTTGTAAGCAGTGGAGCAACTAGGCTAACTGGGGCCCCAGTGTCACTTTTAACGAAGGGGCCCCAATTAAAATTATTTATGCTTATTATTGTGAATAAAATTTGGTGGATAAAATGATAAATTGCCAAAAGGAAAAAAATTAGGAAATGTATTTAATGGTAACTTATACTTATACACTTGTAAGTTGTAACAACTGTTTCTAATCAGTTTACTGAAATGGAAGTGGTAATTACTATTCATTATCAATACCACATATTAAAATTAATTTAATAGATTTATTAAAAGTTTTACCAACCAAATAACAACATAAATCATAATATACTTATAAAAACAAATAAAAATTATAACTTTTAAGACTACACTAGTCATTTATATACAATATACTACACATTTATTTTCACTTAAGAAAGTTTTTTTTTCTTGTTTTTAAATCGGCAAACGTAGAAATCATTTTTTCCAAATCAACTTGATTAGTTACATTTCTTTCTATATTTAAAATGGAAATATTAGAAAGTCGATCCTGCCCTATACTGTTCCTCAAATAGTTTTTAATTAATTTCAATTTCGAAAAAGATCTTTCTGCCGTTGAAACTGTCACAGGCAATGAAATATAAATTATGCATGCAGTTATTACATCACAGTATGTTGTACAAAAATTTTTAACTATAAATAAAGCCAGATCCTTAATCGTTTGAATATTAGTATTTAATAATCCTTTTAAACACAATAACTGTCTGGTAAAATAATAAATAATTAATAAATAATTAATCTGAAAAAATGTCATCATTGTATAAATAAAAAAAGTCCATTGAAGCCTTATAGATCTCATTTTCATTCATTTTAGCTAACATTGTAGGAAATAAGAAATCAAAATTCTCTGTAACTTCTTGTAGTCCTTGAAACCGTGAATTTAGTTGAAATATAACTGTATCAATCACAGGTAGAAAAATTTTCATCTGGTATATTTAGGCGACGATCACCATCAATTTTATCAAAATATTGTGGAGCAAGTCTACTCCTCTTAACATGAAAGTTAGGAGTAATTCCCCATCCAAAACATAATTCTTTACACTCCAACAGTATATTTTCATAGCTATCTCTTAGGTTTTCTATAATTGTTTTGGCATGCATTGTGCAAATTTGTAATTTGTTTCTGAAGGGATTTGGATACTCTGTGTAATGCTCTCAAAATCTTTTCCCAAAAACATAAAATTAGAACAAATTCCATAGATACTAGTTTTTTTAGTAAATTACTAGATAGTAGATTATCTGATTATATTATTAGACAATTCATTCGTCTTTTTCTTTATTAAATTGATAATTTTATTTTGTTGTCCGTACTTCGTGAAATTATATTCGTACATCAAAATTTCATGATTTTTATATTTATTGTGAGATTTATTATCAAATATTAAAATAGATTATTTTATTTAGGCCGGTGCCCGGGGGCCCCTGCAGTCTTTGGGCCCCGGTGTTTGACACTCCCAACCCCCCCAGTAGTTGCGCCACTGGACTTGTAAGTTGTAACATTCATTGCTGAAAGTAATAACAGTACAATTAATTTTATATAATGATAAAATAATAATAATAATAATAATAATAGGCTTTATATTTTAAAATAAGTAAATTTTACACTTTTTAATAAATTACTATATTACTTTTTATAGTTTTTTATTTGAGTTGTAACAATGAATTGCTCAAAGTTATAACAATACAATTAATATAGTATAATGATAAAATAATAATAATAATAATATGCTTTTTATTTTAAAATAAGTAAATTTTACACTTTTTAATAAATTACTATATTACTTTTTATAGTTTTTATTTGAGTTGTAACATTCATTGCTCAAAGTAATAACAATACACTTAATATTATATAATAATAAAATAATAATAATAATAATAATAATAATATGCTCAATGGAAAGTAACAGGTCTTAAAAATGAATAATATAATAATAATAATAATATACGTGATACTTAATTTCAAGAAAAAAATAATATTAGGCACTTATCTAAAAATATTAAATAATATTTTTTTTTATATAAATTATCTTTTATCATACATTAAAATTCATATAACATAATATACCCTTTATAAGTAATTAAAATTATTCTTGTTGCATTAAACATTTGCAGCAAAGAAGCATCTCAAGATTTTTATCTTCAAGGCGATTACGCCTTGGAGTTAAGACCTGAATAGCCCCACTAAATAGCCTTTCAACAGGCGCAGAAGATGGTATTGAAGTATTAAATTTAAAAAAATACTTTTTTAACCACAGGAAATGAATCCAATACATTTAGTTCAGTTTTTTTAGAGTTTAAAAAAGATAAAGCTTGAACACTTGATATATTTGAATTTCTAACAGCTAACTCTGGGTTGCTGGAATCATAAGTTAATGAGTTATCTGGGGAACATACACTACTATATAGAATTATCCGAAGAAGATACATTTTCGGTAAAATCAGAATTATAATTTATTAATTTACATTCATTTATGAATAATTGTTTGCATAAATCAATATATCTAACTGGAACCCAACTCCCCTTGAATTTTGGATGACTCATAGTAGCTATAATGAAATCTTTGCTTTTCGGAGTACTTAAATTAAACAAATAATCAAACCTTTTTTTCGAGGCTAGAAATTAAACATAAACTTAAAGGCTTACAATACTGCAAGTGTGTTGATTGAATTAATAAACGTCTTAAAACAATAATAGTTGGAGCAACATATCCAAGAAAACTGCGTTTTTCACCTTGTAGTTTATCTAAAGCAACTGCTAATGGCTCCATTATTTTAGAATATTCTTCTAAAAATATCCATTCTGCCATTTTTAATTTAACTAAATTCAACTCTTCAAACACAATAATAAGTTTTTCTTTAAAAGCTAATATTTTTTTTACTGCAATAAACATAGAGTTCCATCTAGTAATTATTGGGACCGGGAATTTAACCTTACAATGATCAAACACTTTGTCCGAGGCCACAGTGCTCCTACTAAGTAGATTCCAAAACGAATTCAATTTATTAAAAGTAATTTTAGACATTTTTAAATAATTTGTATCCTTTATTTTTCCAATATCTGTAGTAGCTATTAAATTCAGTGTATGTGCGCAACAAGTTAAATGATTGGGCAAACAAATATTGTTATATTCCGGGTTACTTAAATTATTTGACTCAGAAAGCAAATCACCAACATTAATATACTCAACACTATCAGAGTTATTATTATTTTCAGTGTCACTATTTGAATGATCACTATCAAATTGTGTTTCTGTGTCACTATTAAAGTCACCTAGATGACTGATTTTAGAATTGTTTATTTGATAAGTTTCACAGATTTCATTTATGACATCAGCAATATTTAAAAAGTTGTGGCCGCCTTTAATTCTTCTGCAACCTAATACATATGAATAACGTTTATATGTTTTGTTATCAATAAAATGGCAAGTCATCCCCATAAAACTTTTGTTATTCGCGCTCCATATATCTGCAGTGTTACATATGTAATTTTGTTTATCAATTAAACTAGTTAACATTGATACATAGTTATTATACTTAAGTTTTAGCTCTTTAGATAAACTTCTACGGTTTGGAAGTAAAGCTGTATCTGTAATTCCTGTTAGTCCTTTAATGAGACGATGAAAGGCTGGTTTTTCACAGGTGACTAGAGGTCGCATTTCCTCTACAATATAGTTGAACACTAATTGACTTATCTAAAAAAAATATTTCTTTCTTTAATCATTTATTTGGATAAATAAACTATTCCATGATGTAGACAAGTTACAATAATACAACATAATAATTAAGATACAATACAGTATGTGTAGAATTTTATACTCTGTACCAAATAAGAGCGCACCGCGTTGGCGCATCCAAATGAATCGCGGAGCGACGTCTGGAGTCTGGACCCCCTGGTCGGGTCTATTCGCTCTGTGATTGGTCGCCGATCGTCGGTCGGATTCGCCGCCGTGAATACAGGGAGCTGAAGTAATAATGTGTTTCACGCGTATTAATCAGTAAAATAATACACATACTTTTCGTTTTTTTTTCTTAACATAGGTATTGAACTCAATATAATATTAAAAACATTCAAAATATTCACCAATGCGCGCAAAAAATATAACAACGTCTAACCGCGTATACCGTTAAAATTGGTGTGATAATATACAACACTCTGTATTCAGAGTTGACCTGGCCGGCGCCGGAATACGCTGCGGCAGCGCTCTCTGACATGCGCGAGTTTCGACCGGTTTTCGTGCGCCGCCCGGTGCGCTCTTATTTGGTACAGAGTATAGTTCAATATGTATGAACTTTTTAAGTACCTACCTATTCTTTATAATATTTTTTATTTTAGTATAATAAATGAATAATAAGGGACATATTGCTTGTAAAAATTACTGTCAATATTGTCATAAGTATAGTCTAAAATAATATTAATATTATTAAATATTATAACTGTTAAAATAGGTTGTAAATATATAATATTTTAAAAGACGACTGTACAATTATTATACATTTGATTTATTCTAAAAAGTGCATTACTATAAACTATAAATTTAATAAATTAAAGTAGGTAACTATACCTTATAGTATTTACATATAAATTATGAACTATATTTTAATGGAAGATAAAACTTTTAAGTTCATACATATTAAACACTCTGTATATACATACTCACAGTTTTAGATTTAAACTTACATGTTGTTTTGTGATACTGCTTTTAAAAGAAGTCGATGTCATTTGTTTATGGGTAACTGTTTCATTATTCTGTTTACTGTTTTTAAACAATCTTTTACTTTCCTGTACTTTGGATAGTATTGATGGATGTTTGAACTATAAATAATTACCGTCGACGAGGGACCACCTAAAAATTATTCGTTTAATTAGATTTACATAATTACATAGAAATGTAATCGGATATATTTTTAAAAATATTAATAAATCCTTACGTTCGACGTCGCTCGTGATGATGGGGAGCGGGATCTGGAGAGGGGCCTTCGATTGACATCGCCTCTGCCTCCTCCCAGCCGCCTTCCCCCATCACGACGATCGTCGCTCTGTAGATGCCGACGGACCTCCTGAAAATCATTCGTTTAGTTACATTTATCAATTTCGAAAACTTAAATATATAAATAGATCCTTACAGCGTTTGGTGGTGGCGAGCCGGTGCTCTCAACGTTGAGCTCCTGAAAATAATTTGTTTAATTAGATTTATCAATTTCGAAAACTTAAATATTTTTTTTAATTGTTTACTAATATAATATACTTACAACGCTGGACGGTGGCGACGCTGGCCTCGAGGACCGTCGACGAGGGACCACCTGAAAATTATTCGTTTAATTAGATTTACATAGAAATGTAATTGGATTTATTTTTAAAAATATTAATAAATCCTTACGTTTGACGTCGCTCTTGATGATGGGGAGCGGGATCTGGAGAGGGGCCTTCGATCGTCATCGCCACTGCCTCCTCCCAGCCGCCTTCCCCCATCACGACGATCGTCGCTCGGTCGATGCCGACTGACCTCCTGAAAATTATTCTTTAGTTAGATTTACATAGAAATGTAATTGGATTTATTTTTAAAAATATTAATGAATCCTTACGTTTGATGATGCCCGTGATAATGGTGAGCGGGATCTGGAGAGGGGCCTTGGATGGTCATCTCCTCTGCCACCTCCCCGCCGCCTTCCACCATCACGACCACTGCCGCCGCCGCCACCACCTCCCCTGCCGATGCCGCCGCCAGCGACGCCACCGCCCCTGCCTCTGCCAACACCACCTCCCCGACGCCTTCTGCCACCACGACCACTACCGTTGCCGCCGCCGCTACCACCAACTACACCCCTGGGTTTGGCTACAATATAAATTACAATTGTATACAGTATAATAATAAGACTGTTATTAAGGAATATGTAAAGTAAACACTCACCGCAATCCCGGGAGAGGTGGCCCTCTCTTCCGCAATTGTAACATTCTGAAACGGGTAGATATTATTTTAATCGTTTCTAATTTTATACAATATATATATTAACCAAATGTATGCTTACGTCGGGCGCGGTTTCCTGGTGGGCTCTGGGCGCTTTGGCCCATGTAGAACTGGCAGTTGGACAAGTTTTTATAAATATTGCTCATTCTAAAGTTAATAAATAACAACAAATAAAGAAAGTTGAAAAAGACAATTGATTGGTCTGCATTATTAGGTTGGTGATATTATAAAATATTAAATTCGTTAAACAAAAAGCATGTGGTGCACACTAAAACTAAGTCACGGTTTTCTTCGCAAATGTATATTTTATAACAATATTATTTGATTAATGCGATCGTAGGTGAACGTGGTAAAAACAAAAAAAAAAAATAGAAAAAATATTTAATTTGTTTCACAGAAACCATGTGTTGCAGACAAAACTAAGGCGCGATTTTCTTCGCAAATTTATATATTATTACAATTAGATATTATTAATTCATAAATACGATCCGCGTTGGACGTGTTAAAAAACAATCCAATGTATCTTATTATACTCATTCTAAAAAAATAAAGAAAGTGTATATTAAAACTTTTATATTATTATAAATAATGTACCTCATGTACCTACGCTTGGCAATTGCCGCTAATGTTTTATACGTTGTTACTCATTCTGAAGTTGACAAATTAAAAGCAATAAAGAAAGTGTATAGTAAAACGAAACTTTAAGTGATCTGTCGGTATTATTATAATATGTTGGTGATATTATAAAATATTAAATTCGTTAAACAAAAAGCATGTGGTGCACACTAAAACTAAGTCACGGTTTTCTTCGCAAATGTATATTTTATAACAATATATTATTTGATTAATGCGATCGTAGGTGAACGTGTTAAAAACAAAAAAAAATAGAAAAAATATTTAATTTGTTTCACAGAAACCATGTGTTGCAGACAAAACTAAGGCTCGATTTTCTTCGCAAATTTATATATTACTAGCTGATCCCGTGCACTTCGTTTCCCATTCAATGTACCAACTCTATATGCCTTAAACTGTGTTCAATTCGTTATTTATAATATTCGGTGTATGGTGTTCAAAATGTATCTTAACTTTTTCGTTGGCCGGAATAAAAATTCTAATTTGCAGCAGTATATTATCAGGTAGGCAATCTACCTGCGGTAGATCGCGGACCCCGTGCTGTTTGTACGTAACTGTATGATTTAACTCTTATGTATTAAAGTTATAGCAAATTTGTCGTGTTCCACCAATAATGGATTAATATAATCTATTAATACAAAATCCTAACCTAACCTAACCGTACTAATATCAGATGAATAAAAAAAACCAAATTTAACCATTTTAAAATAGCCTGTCTTCTTCCCAGAGGTTTATTCTATACATAAACATTCATTTATATGTATATATATTTATAAAAAATAATACAAATCAACAAACATGCCCGATTAACCAATAGCAACCAATATATATACACTGTTTTGCTCTACTGTTGTATTCTTTACATCCAGATTTCCTAATTTCCAGATTTTCTTAAAATTTTCTTTCGTAAAAACCTTCTCCTGGTAATAACGAACATCTTAAAAAAAAATTGAGCCAAATCGGTCCGATCTGATCCAGCCGTTCTCGATTGATGAGGTAACGACATTTTTCACTCTCCATCTTTATATATATAGATAACTAATTATTGACTAACATTATCGGACTTTATTTATGCCTAAAACCTGCTCCGTGATATCCTCTTTCATTAAAAAAAATGCATGACAATTGGATAAGAAGTTTCGAAGCCAAACCGTAACAAAGATTTCCTCTTTTGCTTGATTTAAGTTTTATATATATAGATGTGCTATCTCAATGACGTATATTTGAATGGTGGTTTGTTGAAAAGGATCCAAGTTACATTTTTGACAAAAATAGTTTTGTTGTACATTATTCATCCTCTTATGTAAACACATATCATATGCTTATAATTTGTAAATCAAAGACTGATTCAATAAAATTAGGTACATAAGTTTTTCTTTATTTTTAATTTTAATAAAAAAATATTGTTTTTTTAAGATTGTTATTCATTCGTTTATATTCAAAGTTTGTTATTTAGTTGTATTGTTATCTATTTAATTGGATAAAATAAATAAGAAGATATTATATTATTTTAAGATGTGACTATTAATGTGTCTTGCATTACGTGTACGCCGTCCAATGTTTGTTCTTCTCATAGGAGGCATGATTCAAGCATAAAAATTCTCTCCAAAAAACAATAGTCGTTTTTGATTGAAAAAGTTCATAGAAAACATAAAACGAATGAATAATGTGCCAACTATTATATTTGTTTGCTCTAAAGTTATAAGTGTCTATAATAAAAAATGTATATCAACCAGAATATAAAAATATATTTTTTTTTTTCGATTTTTATTATTATTTATATTATATTTATATTTATATTTTTATCCGCTAGAGGGCGCCACCGATGTAACTCAGTTTTCGTCTCTAAATCTCTAACTAACATGAATTAGGTCCATAATTTATGCTATAAACCCGCTCACCGACATTCTCTATCATTTAAAAAAAATTTGAGCAAAATCGGCCAAGCCGTTCTCAACTGATGCTATTTCAAATTTTTTGTCTCCATTTTTATATATAAAGAAGATTATAATAAGATATTTTTAATTCTTAAAAAGGATCCGCGTTGGACGTGTTAA